TTTGCAGTGCTGAGAATCAAACCCAGAGCCTCACACATGCTAGGCAAATGCTCTAACCCTGAGCTCCAGCGGAAATAATGAGTCTTAAAGGAAATGCACTCAAGCCATGAGATGCAAAAAACACAGTTGTAAATCTTGAGTGACATGCCCTTGGTCAGTGCCCTTGTAAAACGAGGAAAATGCCCAAACCCAGGGAAAACACGCCAAAAATTGTGTAGCTCCACCTCCAATCCAGAGACTAACTACAGTGCTTCTATAAATATTCAACTCATCCCAACCTAAGGAGGGTCTTCTCACTCCAGATAACCCACATTCTCCCCTGAAAGCCTGTCTACTTCCTAAATAAACCTCTGTTTATGCTTTGTCTGACTTGAGCTGAAATTCTTTTCCTTCACATATCCCAAGAACCCTGCTGGTCCTGAGTCAAATTTCCCCTCCTCTCTGGGAACTCCTTGGATTCTTCTCTGGAAATGTCTCTTCTCCAGGACAGAACTACAACCCAGATCTATCTGATGAGAATGTACAGAACTTCGCTGTTGCAACACACAGTACCTCCAGAACCACCCTGTAAAGTGGGTCCATGATTTGCCTTGCTTAGCAGAAAGAAAACAGGGTTCAGAGAAGGGAAATAGCTTGCCTCTTGGGTCACACAGTGATTCTAGGGCAGACTAGCTGATGTCTAGATTCTGCTGGTCGGTGCAATCATAGGCAGACACATGACCCCAACCCACAGCTGGAGGGTCTGGGAGAGGGAGGAAGTTCAAGATGCTGACAGTGAGTGCACTGTCACATGAGCTGACCAGAAAGGCTTCAGGAAGGCTGGGTTCAAGCAGCATTTCCTATAGCTCTGCCTTTGCCCAGCTGCTCTGGCCAGAATTACTTGGAAAACTGATAAAATGGCTTCCCACTGAGATGTTTAGAATCAGTCAGGAAAAACCTGGCTTTTCTCAGATCCCCAAACTCTCCAGTTAGAAACAGAAAGAGTAAACAAAGCTTTGACCTTGAGTAAACTTGGCAGCTAGTCTGTCTTMCTTGCTGAGTGAGCCTAAATTAGATATTTAACTTCTCTGAGTCTGTTTTTTTCTTCCTCTGTAACAATGAGCAGAATAGTGCCACCTATTCACAAGGTTGTGCAAAGAAAAAATATAATGACATRATGATTTCAATAGTTCCTCAAACCACCAATTTGCAAAAACAAACTGGTAAGACTCCTCACACTGGTACAAGCCTGTAATCCCACCTGCTGCAGAGGCTGTGGCAGAAGGATCCTAAGGTCAAGGTCAGCCTCTACCAATTTAGAGAAACCGTGTATCAAAATTCAGAAAGGCTGGGGATGTATCTCAGTGGTGGAGGGCCCCTGGGTACAATCCCCACTCTCCATCCCCATATACAAAGGGTTACTACATAAAGCACAAAGAAATGATCATTTGGCTTCATAAATGTCATCAGACCAGCTGTACCACTAGAGTTGCAGATGGCAGTGAAGGATATGGAAGACAACAATCCACAGGAAAAAAGAAAACAACCCCCAGGGAGAAAGAAGGACAATGGGTTCAGGGACAGAAGGAAAACAATGGGCTTTGGACTTTCACCATTTCCCAGCAACAAAGGCTTTGAACTTGGACAACTGTTCCCCCTAACTGCCCAACCTAGGAACTCTGCTGTGAGTCAAGTCTCACTTAAACCCTATTAAAAAAAAAAAAAAATCAGACCCCCTCTCGTAACCAGTTGCCATTTTCTCCCCTGAAAATGTGTCCCTCAGCTACTTGATAATAAAAAGCACCATTGATTCCTCAAGGTCTTTCCCTGTTTTGGTTACTTTTGCTTTCAGGCAGTGTTTGTTCAGATTCCCTCCAGGAAGCCTGCTCTCCAGCACTGACCTGCATGGTAGAAGCAAGGGAACTGTTTAACATTGAACCTGAACCTTGAGCTGGATGCCCCAGGCAGGTCTAATAGGGCTCCGGAAAGGGGCACCACAGTGATGTCCTCCGTCCAGAACCAGCAGGGCAGGGGGCTGGAGAGAGACACCACTCCAGTGAGTGGATCAATGAATGGACGTTCCAGCACCCTTGATCTTTCAGGCCAATCAGTGCTTGCTTGGCCAAGCTTTCCGTATTCCTCCTCCCCACTATCCAGCTTAATCTCTCTATCCGGTGGAGTAGGGATTATTAGCCCTATTTTACAGAAGGGAAAACTTTTTTATTTATTTATTTTTAAAATTTTTTAGTTGTAGTTGGACACAATACCTTTATTTATTTATTTATTTGTAGTGCTGAGGATCGAACCTGGGGCCTCTCGCTTGCTAGGTGAGCGCTCGACCGCTGAGCCACAACCCCAGCTCCAGAAGGGAAAACTTTTTACAGAAGAAATGACTTCCTCCATCCCAACTCCTTGGGGTCTGATCTTCTCTGTGTTGAAAATGTCCCAGGCTCCCCCGACCTCTGTCTGCTGGTGACCCTTCGCTCGGGGCGGGAAGCAGCGATCCCGGGAAGGAGGAGGACCCGACGGGCAGGGGCGGGGCCAGACAAATAGCCGCGGGGGCGGCGTATCGGGATTTGGCTATGGAGCCCTGGGATTGCCGCTACCAGTTTCGGATCGCGCTGCTTGGAGAGGCAGCGGTGGGCAAGACGTCGCTGCTGCGACGTTACGTGGCGGGGGCGCCTGGGCTCGAGACCGAGTCCGAGCCGGAGCCCACCGTGGGCGTCGAGTTCTACAGCCGCGCGCTGCAGCTGACTGCCGGGCCGAGGGTCAAGCTGCAGCTGTGGGACACCGCAGGACAGGAGCGCTTCAGGTGCGGCCGCTGGGGCGGTGGGCAGGCAGGCGCAACACGGAGGGACCTCTGGCTTGCGGGGAGGGGGAAGGGGCCCCTGGCCATGCACATCCCCGACTTCATCCCTCCCTGGGTCTCTGCAGATCGCTCTGGCCAGACCCCCGCCCTCCCTCTATACTTCATCTTACAAATACCGCGTGTGGGCCAAGTCCCACAGCGTCGTTARGTAAGCACTTTACCTCTGAGCCACATCCCCAGCCCCCAGTGCTAGAGGAACATTCAGTTTTTCGGGGATTTGCACCCCAGCTTTCAACTCGAYGTATGACCTGGGTGCCAGAATTCCCATAGCCCAAAGGGGAGTGTCAAAGGAAGAGAGATTGGCGCCTGGCCTGATGGCACAGACCTGTAATCCTAGTTACTGGGGAAGCCAAGGCAGGAGGATTGCAAGTTTGTAGCTTTGGCAGTGTAGCAGAACCCTGTCTCAAAATAAAAAGTCCTGGGAACATAGCCTAGTGTTAGAGCAACTGCATAACATGTGAGAGGCCCTGAGTTCAATCCTCAGAACTGCAGAAATTAAAAARAGAGAGAGAGAGAGAGAATATGAGAATTTATGTTGGCCCTGAAGGATGAGTAGGAATTTGTCGGGCAGAGAATGGAGAACAGGGAATCACCAAGGCTCCTCCAGGATTGGAGAAATGGTTAGGAGTTTGTAAYTTGCTTCCAGACTGGGGAGTGTTGCAGTGTTGGGAGAGAGACAGACGCTGACCTGTCAAGAAGCACAGGGCTGTGAATGAGCTAGAGAGGGGTGTGAGGCATTCTGTGGGTCCTAGGGAGAAGGTCCAATCTCTGGGGATATCTTGGTGTCCTCAGGCTCTCCTAACTTACCGTCCCCTTCCCCAGGTGCATCACCAGGTCCTTCTACAGGAATGTGGTGGGAGTTCTGCTGGTCTTTGATGTGACGAACAGGAAGTCTTTTGAACACATCCCAGACTGGCACCAGGAGGTCAAGTCCACTCAGGGGCCCAACAAGGTGATCTTCCTGCTGGTTGGCCACAAGAGTGACCTGCAAAGCACCCGTTGTGTCTCTACCCAAGAGGCAGAGGAGCTGGCTGCCTCCCTGGGTATGGCCTTTGTGGAAACTTCAGCCAAAAACAACTGCAATGTGGCTCTGGCCTTTGACGTCCTCACCACTGCTATCCAGCAAGCCCTGCAGCAGGGGGACATCAAACTGGAAGAGGACTGGGGGGGTGTCCGGCTCATTCACAGGGCCCAAATCCCTAGGTCCTCTAGCAGGAAACAGCACCCAGGCTCATGCCAGTGTTGACTTGAGAGAGAAGGTGTTAAAGTAGAGCAGACTTCAGATTCCCTGGTGGGACAGAGTGTTAGTATCTTTGGAGGGCAAATGAGGAGGGTTAATTTCAATGGAATCTTTTTTTKTTGTTGTTGTTGTTGTTACCAGGGATTGAACTCAGGGGTATATGGCCTCTGAGCCACATTTCCAGCCCTATTTTGTATTTTATTTGGAGACAGGGTYTCACTGAATTGTTTAGTGCCTTGCTTTTGCTGAGGCTGGCTTTGAACTCGCAATCGGATCCTCTTGCCTTAGCCTCCCAAGCCACTGGGATCACAACGGTAGTCACCATGCCTGGCTTCAACAGAATCTTGACAAGGTCATGCCTCCTGCATTTTGGGGGTTTAGCTCAACTCCTTTCTAGATTAAGGTTTAAGAAACCAATTATGGAGGCTGGGGATGTGGCTCAAGCGGTAGCGCCCTCGCCTGGCATGCGTGCAACCCGGGTTCGATCCTCAGCACCACATACCAACAAAGATGTTGTGTCCGCCAACTAAAAAAAWAAATAAATAAATATTAAAAAAAAAAARAAAAGAAACCAATTATGCAGTGTCCTTTCCTTAAGCCTCAGTTTCTCATCTGTCAATAAGGCTTATAAAAGATGAATAGGGAATTTGTGACCATGAATGAAATTATAGGTGTGCTCACTCAGAGTCTGCCATTCTGAGAACTGAATAACAAAAGCTGTCATCCCCTCCAGTATCTTTCTTGGCTTAGGCTGTTTCTGGAAGCATTCCTGAGTTTAGCGTCTGGACGCTGCTGCTCTGGCARTGAGTATGGGGAATTCCAGTACAAGACTGGCTTTTAGAGCCTCCTTAGGTCCTCAGGCCAGAAAGAGTTTGGGCATGGAATCAGATGTGGCCTCAATCTAGGGTTGCTGCCCAGTGTTCCCACAAGCCCAGGGGCTAAATGAGTGTGGGAGGCAGGGCTGAACATGAATGTGTAGCAAGCATGCTGAGCACACAGTGGACACTACGATGAGCCACCAAGGGCAGAGGGATCTATGCTCCCACCTACCACCCTACCCCTGCTGCTGGGAGTACTTCGAGGTGACAGACATGATTTGAAATACTCTCTGGGAACTGTCCACCCCTAAAGGGCAGTCCATATCCAATTTCCACCTATGGGTGGAAGATCAAACCCAGATTCATCCCTCTCTATCTAAAGACTTCATTGAGAACATTATTGTGACAATATCGCAGCCAAGTTCTCCCTCCTTCCCTTCCTTCCGCAACCAGGTAGGGATTTGAAGAATGCCCCCTAATAAATGTCTGCCTCCTGAAGAATTTAATTTGCTAGGTGAGACTATTGTGGACTTCATGGAAGAAATGGTGCTTAGGTTGGACAGATCTCAGCAGGCATAGAGAGTATGTCACTGTGCCAGTGGGCATGAGCAGAGCAYGGACAATTGCCACAGTAAAAAGACCATAACCACTTAACTCATTTTGTGAGTTGGGCCAGTTACCTCACCTCAGCCTCAGTTTCCTCCTCAGTAACACGTGATTGATAATCCTTCCTTCCTTGAGTTCTTGGGAGGTTTTTTTTTAATATTTTTTTTTAGTTGTTGATGGACCTTTATTCATTTATATGCGGTGCTGAGAATTGAACCCAGTGCCTCACACATTTGAGGCAAGTGCTCTACCACTGAGCCAGAGCCACAGCCCCAGCCCTCTTGGGAGGTTTTCAGTTAGGTTGTTTCTTAGCTTCCTCACATGGAGGCTGGTCTAGGGTTGACCTCTCTGTGGCCCTCCCTTTTTTAAAAACAACCTCACTAGGCTGGAACAGTGTACAGGTTTATAATCCCTACTACTGGGGTGGGGTGGGGGGGCRCTGAAGCAGCAAGTTTGAGGCCAGCCTCAGTAATTTAATGAAACTCTGTCTAAAAAAAAAAAAAAAAAGGTAGGGTGCAGGGATGTTAGCTCAGTAATAGAATAGTGTCCCTCGATTTTACCCCCAGTACCGCTGAATAAACAAATAATTAAAATAACCTCACTTATCCTTGTAGTATCCCTCTAAGGTTTGTACAATTATCCCCATTTCACATGAGGCCAAGAGAGGGAAAGTATTTGTTTTAGGGCATATTTTCATTCCTTCATCAAAATTTTTCTGAACAAGCATCTACTCTGTCAGAATCTCTGGAGATATAGCAGTGGCCATAACTGAAAAGCCCTTTAGGGCTGGCATTCTAGTGGAAGAGAGAGAAAAAAATACAAATAATGAACTAAACGATTTCCAGTTGTAAGTGCTGTGAAGATGTAACAAAAAGTTAAGCTGGGCGCAATGGCGCACCTCTGTGATCCCAGTGGCTTTGGAGACTGAGGCAGGAGGATAGAGAGTTCAAAGCCAGCCTCAGCAAAATCAAGGCACTAAACAACTCAGTAAGACCCTGTCTCTAAATAAAATACAAAAAAGGGATGGGGATATGGTCAGTGATTGAGTGTCCTGAGTTCAATTCTCCAGTGCCAAACAAAACAAAACAAACTTTAAGACTCCTCACTTTTGCCTGTAAGTGTCAGACAGGTRGCTAAAAGCAGGATTAAAGATTTTGCATCTCCATCTTACATCCATTCTCTTTGTTCTGAGTCATCTTGGATTATAGGAACAAGGCCTGATTCAATAAACATYTTGTGATGAGTGGAAGCTACCTCCCGTCCTTAGGCAAAGGCAACTTTCTTATCTGAGGGCCACCTGACCCATCCTGAGATAATGATGGATAGATCACACCTAATCAAGATCACCTGCTTTGGCAGCTGTGACAAGCCTCTGACTATGCAACCCCATATACACACCTTGTCTTTATTCCCCTATAAAACCTCAAAGTCTCTGTCAGGGCTAAGGACATGTATCCTCTTGTCTTTTTGATGTAGTTATACTGATTAAAGTTCCTTCATGCTTTTTGCCATTACCTTTTATGTTTGTTTTTTGGGGTGAGTGACCAGATCTGATTTGTTAAATCCCCAGAGTCAGATCTTATTATTATTATTATTTTTTGAAGCAGGAGGAGGAGCTGAGCCAAGAGCAGAGATGGGAACAGAGGAAAAGAACAATAACCAAAGCCCTCTCTGACCAAGCGCTGCTTCCTTTTTTTTTGGAGGGGAGGGGTTGACCTGGGGGCTTTGCCACTGAGCTACATACATAGCCCTTTTTATTTTTTGAGACAGGATCTAAGTTGCTGA